GACGTACCTGATCCTGTCTCTTCTGCCATTGGATTCGTGATTTCCAGCATTGAACCATTGGATGGGTACATTCCCAAACGCTTCATCGGCATCGTCAGTGAGAGGCGCCATCGTAGGCACAGAGTTACAACTTATCACTGTGTCACTTTGGTACGTCGTAACTATGTGCTTACGATTACGCCTCTCACTGACGATGCCGGCGAAACATTTAGGAATGTACCCAGTCAATGACCCAACGTCTCGAGTTACTTTCCCATTCAGCTTAAGAATCCTGATTTTTAGGGAACTACTCACTGGGGCGGGAGTATACGTGCCATAAAAACGTGTATGAAAGGACGCTTCGAGTAGAACAGACAGGGTGGCAGGGGTCGAGTGAAATACTTGAACCAGGAGGGTAGGAGACGGATCATACGGGGCAAGAGGTAGACTCTGATAAGACCTATGGGAAGAGGATTGCGTAATAGTTTGGCAGCTTCTGATCAACACTCCCAGCACAAGGGTGAAGGTGGGTGAGGGGGTGAGAAAGCCAGCATGGCGTGTGGAGAGTTCTCATGAAATTCGCTTGAAAGGGAATACTGTAGCACATTTAAATATGAAAGTATAAATTGTGATAGTGAAGGCGTGATACGAGGATATGGGATTTGTGATTAGCCAGGGGCGGAAAGAGAGATACCACAATTGTTTATCAGACAATGTTCAAAGGATCGGCTCCACTTCTCTCTTTGACGAGTTGAAGTGGGGTGTTAAGACTGGCAAGGCTCACTGACGATGCCGGAGAAACGTCTGGGAATGTACCACGTCCACGATCCGACTTTGGAAATATTTATGCATACAATGGACTCAGGACAAGGTGCGTTCCACTAAGTCTTCCTGCCAATATGACCAATTTGAGAAAACAATGTCAAACAACTTCTATGCAACGAAAGGAGACTTTGACCACACAAAAGGCAGCACCATCTTGATCTTCATACCTTCTCGATTTAGTGTTTTGAAGATTTTTTCGCAAATGTCGGTTTCCGGCTCACTCCCTATAGATCGAGGTAGCAGGCTGGCACTCTGAGGACAGCTTGACACAATCCAGTAGTGAAAAAGGGAAAAACAATCCATCTTAGCTTTCAAATGAGACCAATATATGAGGCCCTTTCAGTCAACATTTCTCGCGAATTACTATGTTCACTGACTGTCTATTTGATAGTGGCTCTACTAACTACGATACCAGTAGACATAGTAGAGGTGATGTATAAGCATACTCTACACTCAAACGTTGAATTGCTTTTTATCCCCTTTTCTTTGGACGGTCTTATCTGCCTCAGTACGCCCATTCTCATCTCCTGCAAATGAGCCCTGAGTTGGCAGATGATGTCTCATACTGGAACCACTTAGAATTGTGCTCCACCCCCGAGCAAGGGCTAATATAATGTGGTGGAATACATCCAGGATGCATCGGAAACAGTTGGCAGTTAGAGGCGGCTCAGTTAGATCTACGCGTTTTAGTTGGGACAGTTGGATATTGACTGAACATTATTAATGGGCCTTGCTGATGCTACAAAACCAAAGTGGACAAAGTCCAATGATGAGTTTCAGGACAGTTGGAGTAGGAGGAACCTTTGGCAGGTAACGATAAGAGAATATGTCAAATTGATTTTCTTGCCATAACGACCAATGCTTGAGAGATTGATTGAGGCTAACAGACTCATTCGGTAGCTTTAATACTCCAAAGTCTAGTTTATTGCATTCCAATGGTCGTGGAATGCCAAATCAGCCGAGTTTTTATTCCATTTCTCTCTCGAAATAGGTGCCTTTTATCAGCTCTTTTTGTTGTAGACCTTCGATGCCGTTAGTGTCTGCTTCACGAAGGTGGTAAATTTCAACAACCTCTGCACCCAGGTCGAGGTGGAGGAGGTGATCGCGTTACTCAACAAAATGTACACACTGTACGACCAACTAACAGAGCGCCACAAGGTCTACAAGGTAAGCTCAAGAGAACCTTTGGTTTGTCTGCATTATCCGGGCGAAGATGTGACAACATTCGATCTTTTCCCACTGAACCCGAAGCTTGTTATGCTCACTTCTACACTCATACCTTCCAATGGAATTTGTGCACTTTTCGAGTACTTACTCCTGTTCAGCAAATGCTTACTCCCAGCCTCTTTGAAATTCTCCTCAGCGGAACTCGGAAATGCATGTCCCGGCTACGAATCCCAGTGAGACTGGTGCTTACTTATACTTGAAGAGGAGACCGTGGTCCAGACTGGAGGGTTGCATTCATGTGGTTGGAGAAAGTTTTCTGTTTCTGTTCTCTGCCTAAGGCACCCCACTTCCGGAAGAAATACTGATTGAAAATAAAAGAATTAGTCCACCTCACCCTGACCTGAAGAAGTATCCTGAAGGCCGGTTGCTTTGATCTTGGGACCAAAACAAATAGTAAAACTGATGATTTATTTTCGTTTAGGCTTGACAATATTCTTGCTCTTTCTATTCACTGCCAAGTCTGTTTAACAAGACTGACTTCGAGGCAGGCTGGGAGTTTAGCTGTCCGGAAAAGTGGGCGTCTCAACTGGACTTTTTGGTAGTGCTTCTAATAACCATTTCACTTTCTATG